CCTTAGTTATAGGTCTGACCTGGATGATTCTGTAACTCCTATTCAGATTGTAACTACTATATCCTGTTACAGCCTGAATCAACAGTACATGTGTATATAATACAGTCACAGTAGAAGCCTCCTGTACCCTGCCCTGAAGGACCTGGGTAATGCCAGGTAAGTCTGCTAGTTAACTATATATTTGACAGAGTTTGTGTGTCTGTGTGTTATAGGTCTGACCTGGATGATTCTGTAACTCCTATTCAGATTGTAACTACTATATCCTGTTACAGCCTGAATCAACAGTACATGTGTATATAATACAGTCACAGTAGAAGCCTCCTGTACCCTGCCCTGAAGGACCTGGGTAATGCCAGGTAAGTCTGCTAGTTAACTATATATTTGACAGAGTTTGTGTGTCTGTGTGTGTGTGAAAATGCTGCTGTTTGTTCAAGAACTCCTCCTACCGGTAAGAAGTAGGACCACCAAATTTAGTGTGCAGCTTCCTCTTACCATAACGTGAACCAAGGTCAGGGTTTGGTTGAGTCAGGAAAATGGGATGGGCCTGATATGGGATTGTTTCTCATAAAACCATACAGAAAGGAGACAGAATCACCAGGCAGGTGAAAGCAGCTAACTAGGGGCATGCCTCACCTCCATCCAGAACTGTGTGCTGCAGTTCCACCCTCCCATCCCCAATTTGTACAGGGACACAATACCATACAGAAAAGCGACAAATACCAGGCAGGTGAAAGTTGCTGGCTGGAGGTATGTCCCTCCGTTCCGGTCTGGGATTGCCTCATCCCCAGTCGCCCTTTAGTGAGGGCGTGAGGGGGGACTTAAGCTCCTCCTCCTTTGTATGGGAACATTACTGGCTGTTCCTCTTCATTAGGGAGAAGGGGAAAGTGCACAGTGTGCTGCATACCTCACTGGCTAGGAGTGCGGGGCAGACCAACCTGGACCTGTCCCACCTGGGGGTCATGCACCCTTCACACAGCTGTGCCTGCTGGAGCTGCCACGGTCATGGAGAGGTGCTTCTCACCTGGTCCCAAGCTGCTGTGGTGAGAGGAGGCTTCCCTCATCCTCTCTCCCCAGGGCAGCCTGCAAACTGAACCCCTCATCTCCAGCCCCACCATTTTATTTTCCAAAAATCAAAAATGAATTAAGGACCTGACCAATGACAGGTAAATCTTCTAGTAAATAAAGGATGGACATGAGTAGTGAAAATGGCCATTACCCTTACAATCTGATCTTTGGAACTTCCTACAGACCTGTTTCACTGTAATATCACATACACATGAACAAAACAAATTAACTCCCCAACTATGGAGAAACTGGCAGCCAATAATGCAGAACTTTCTCCTTCTTGCACTTTGACTTATAGAAAGGACATAAACCATAAACGGATTTCTGAAGTGGCAGAGAGCTAAAGTTCACTTGTTTTTTAGGCCATGAACCGTGCCTCCATAGACACTGTTTCAAGGGAAACAGATAATAAATGGCACCTGCACTTCTTTATGTGGATAGCAAAGAAAGCGGGATTTATTAGTGTGAACTATTCATATCTTAAAGGTCATCATTTTGAGCTTTACTAGCAGGACAGGTGGATAGAAGAATGGAGAACAGAAGCCACCAATAAAGCCAGATTTTTAAAATATTGGGGGGGAGTGGAGGAGAAACAACTCAAAGGACCTTTTCCTACAAAGTGCTGAGCATAGCCCACGAAGGTGCTTAATTAGCACCTCCCACAAGAGATGCAGGAGCCAGCCTATAACCTATTGTAAGCCAGATTTTCCATTCCACTCAGCACCCTCAATTGGAGCCAGATTTTTCAAAATCCTCACTTTAGCATCTAAATGCAATAATGGATCATCCTACACCTCCTATTATTCCCAATGTGGGAGACAGGGATTTTTTACTGTTCCTAATGATAATTGCTGGGTGCCAAGGAGGTTTTAAAATCTTGCCCTACTATTCAAGCACCAGATTGGGAATTGGTGGTGGTGACATTTTTTAAACATCTGGCCCTTCATGTGCAGCTTTTTCTTAAACTCAGTGGAAAATTAGGAAGGCTGTGGTGACTGACAAACAAATAGTCCATTTTTAATAATCCTCTTTGCAAAAAATATACAACAACTTTACAAGTAAAAAGCTGAGGGGAAAGGCAGCAGAGATAGAAGAATATAGACAATCTGTCAACATGTATAGTGAAACAAATATAGGACAATTTGACAACATATTAAGAATATTTGGGAGAATAAAATAAATGGCACAATATTTTCAAAATGACAGCAATGGAATTCTAGGAATAATTTTTCTAAAACAAAGTAAGTAAAGTGCGGTCCACTGGAATAGGACCCAACCTCTGGGTTCTATTCCCAGCTTTCATTGACTTGTTGCATGACCGCAGACAAGTGGTTTCACTTTTCTGTTCCTCTTCCCCTCACATTCTTTTTCTGTCTTGTCTGTTTAGGATTGTAGCAGCCTGTTTCTGTCTACTTGTTTGTATAGTCCCCCTAGCATTTGGGCTGCAATCTCGGTTGGGGTCTCTAGGAGCTAAGTAATACAAATAAAATAAACAAAGTTGCAAATGTTGATCAAAATGCAGCTGATTCATCCGGAAATGGAACAAAGTGTGAAGAAATGACATCCAAAATCAGGGATTCAGCAAAAGATTATATAAAAATGTTTTGGCATTTACTTTATATCAAACTAAGACTCAGATTCTACAAACAAGGCTGTTTCTGATGAGATTCAGAATGTTTCACTTTACTCACATGAGTAGCCTCCTTGAAGTTAGAGATGAGACATCCTACTGTCAACACTAGACCCATCCTGTAGATAAATACACTGCTTCAGTCTCCATAGATATGAACAGTGCAAGAGTTAAATTTACTTAAATATTTTAAAAGATAATTAGTGATTTTCCTTGTATTTATCAACTTCTGCATATTATCTCAATATCGTTTTCTAGCTATATTTTAAACATGGTATTTAAAAAAACACTAATGACTTCTAATTAGCACAGACTGGTGTGAAATCTCACTATAGATGATCTTGCACAACTTAACAAGTCTCCCCTGCCTGTTTCTTGCCCATGAGTTGCACTGGGCTACAATGTCTTTAACAGGACTATTCTTATGCTTAAAGTTAAGCAGTGCCTAAATTCTTTGCTGGCTGGAGGTTAGAATATTTGGCACCATGCTGGATTAAGCCCTCGCACTGCTGCAGTGACATCTGAACCCCACCTTGTTGCCTACAAACATTTTCATTTGCAAAAATAGGGGTTTTTTTAGTTAAGAGGGCAAAAACAAACAAACAAACAAACAGAAACCTGCAAAGTCAAAAATGCATTTGGGATTCGATTGTGTGTGGCAAACTTCAGGCTAATGACAATTAAAGCTCACAAAATTACAGACCGTTTCAAAGCAATTTAATAACAAAAAAAGATTTGGATGGTGCTGGTGAAGCCTTTGACACTTCCACAATTCAGTGCTTCCTAACAGAATACATGAAGATTTTTAAGTCTGCCATTTACTCAGAAGTCATGATCAATACTGTTACACTTGTCATAGCTCTGCATATGGCGTTTGCATAGAGTTAATGTCAGAAAATTTGACTTCCTGTGTCACAAAATTAATTGTGTCAGGCTGGCTCTGGTTGTCAAGCTTAAGCGACAGCTAGAGCAATACACCGAGTGGAGTGAGATGAGCACAGCTACAAATCATCTCCAGCATGAAAAGGTGAGCCAGATGCATAACAGGATAAGGGAGCAGATGATGATTCCAGTTAGAGTTTAATGTATCATTAATTTTCTATTTGTTACTCTTCTATCTTACTGTGTGTCTTGCAAGGACATGATCTGATCTGTCATCAGAGGAACCATTTTGTTAAAGGGAAGCTGCAGTAAGCTCTCTCTCAAGCTGGATCTCTAGAAATATTCTGAAAAATGGATGCAACTACACATTGGATGGCTGTTTTTGGTTTTACTTAGGGTTCTTTCAGAATCTTCTGCCTCTTTCCTTATGTTATTTCACCATGTGGCATTTGTTGTAATAAGTTTAGATTTTATATTGCTGGAAGCAGAAAATAGGCTAACAAATAAAGAAAGCAGACCAGGAGACTTCTACAGTTAGAACAAAGTGTATAGATATCGTTAAAGAGATTCTAAATTTCAGACAGATGTGAGAAATCTGTTACTCTTAATACTGTCCTTCTGCCCTCTTACGTGGGCAAAGCAACTACATAAAAAAAGAAATGTAGGTAAGTGAAAGGTACTCACATTTTATAAGGCAAGAATGGGTAAATAACTGAGTGAATCTCAGGTTTGCAGCACTAGCTGGGAAGCTGGAACACATTCTTCCTTCACTCACACCTGTTCAACCTCAGTGAAGTCAACGGGATTGTACAATTGTAAGTGAACGGAAACTCGAACCCCATAATCAATAATATAATCTATTTCTCATATACAGGCAATAATTTATGGTATTTTGTACAAACAACATAGTTTTCATAGAGTTTATTAAAAATAAAAGCTTAAAGTAAACATGATCAATAAACAATTTAGAAAAACAAAGATCAAAAACATTCCTTTTCAAATTATTCCACAGTAAATAGTAACACTGCACAGTACGCTAAAATCGTTGCCTTGGATAACAAAACAAAATGGGTATATTAGAAGACTGAGTGGAAAATTAAACTTAGTTATTCAGGCCATGTTTACACACTAATGAGCTTAGAGCAGCACAGCTGTACCAATGCAACGAAATGAATCGGTGTAAGAGTGCTCGAGTAGCCACTAACGGGACAGATTCTCCTGGTGACTTAATAAAACTACCTCAACATGCATGGAAGCTATGTCGTGCCCACCAACATGGCGCTGTGCATGGGATCATTTTTAACAATCAAACTTATGTAATTCAGGAGTGTGTTTTTTCACACCCATGAGCGACATCAGTGGTAGTGTAGACGCGGCCTCAGTCAGTGTTAAAGAACACATTTCTGCTAAAGAGACAAATATATTTTAACAGCCTGAACAATAAGTTAGACACACCCACATATACAGCACTACAGACAGCTATTTAAAGCATTCTAGTCTGCTTAGGGAAGACGCATTTTTGTGTTTTCGTCTAGCTTCTCCATTTACAAATATAAAAACACAAATCTGTGACAGGATTGCAAATTTTCTATCCTGACACAATCATATCTTTCTATTCCAAAGCTCTATCACATTATTAAAACAGACAACAACTGTGCCTTATTTAATAACATAGTGCTGCATAACACAGAGCTCTGAATAATAAAAACATCAAAAGGAGATTAGTTTTAGGCCATAAATAACAACAACAAAAAAGAACGCAAAGAGTACCACCTGAGAACTCATCCTCCTTCACAGACTCAGTGTTTCACCTCATCAAGTAAAAAAAAACAAAAACAAAAAAAAAACCCACACATTAGGATTCCCCTCTTCCCCTCTCCAATTTGGCAAAAAAATCACTGATGTTTCTGTAGTGTTTAAAAAGCCAGTAGTAATTAAGGGTATGACAAATCCATTTTTTAAAGTACTTGCCAAATACTAAATAATTTACTGCACCATTCAGTGGCAAGACAGCTCTGGCAGGAATAAAATGTGTAACACATTCTGTAAACACTAAGGAAGCCCCAGTGTGCACCTGGAATGGTACAGCAGCAAAATAGCCATTCAGATGCTGCTGTGTTAGCTACTCAAAAATTTATTACTTTGGATACATATACCTGAAAAATTCAGTATTTATGCATCAACTGACTAAAAAACAAAGATTGGTTCTATTTGTAACCAGTAATGGACAGAAAAGCTGTGACTTGTAGATAACTAGTGTACTCAGGCAAAGAAATCTGGACTACAACCTTATTATACAGATACAAAAGCACTAAAACACCTCAACACTGGCACCATGAGAGGCCCAGGGTTAGCCCCAGTACATTTGGCATTCATCTTTCAAAAACAACCCCAGAGTTCCTGGCTTACACACTAAGAAGAAGGTGAGCAAATCAGAGTAATTTAGCTTCATTGACTTCACTTTGGGAGTACAGGCAGTCCCCGGGTTACATACAAGATAGGGACTGTAGGTTTGTTCTTAAGTTGAATTTGTATGTAAGTTGGAACGGGCGTCCAGATTCAGCCGCTGCTGAAACTGACCAGCGGCTGACTACAGGAAGCCTGAGGCAGAGTTGCTCTGCCCCGGGCTTCCTGGAATCAGCCGCTGATCAGTTTCAACAGCGGCTGAATCTGGATGCCTGGGACAGAGCAGCTGGGGCGCTGCAGGGTAGGTCCCCGCAGCGCCGCATCTCGGCGCTACTGGACCAACCCAGCAGCACCCCAACTGCTCTGCCCTAGGCGTCCCCAAGCCAGCCGCTGCTGAAACTGACCAGCGGCTGACTACAGGAAGCCTGAGGCAGAGTTGCTCTGCCCCGGGCTTCCTGGAATCAGCCGCTGATCAGTTTCAACAGCGGCTGAATCTGGATGCCTGGGACAGAGCAGCTGGGGCGCTGCAGGGTAGGTCCCCGCAGCGCCGCATCTCGGCGCTACTGGACCAACCCAGCAGCACCCCAACTGCTCTGCCCTAGGCGTCCCCAAGCCAGCCGCTGCTGAAACTGACCAGTGGCAGCTGAATCAGGTCGCCTGGGGCAGAGCAGCTGCGGTGCTGCCGGGTTGGTCCAGTAGTGCCCGGGAGCAGTGCTGCGGGACCAACCCGGCAGCGCCCCAGCTGCTCTACCCCAGGCGTCGGCGAGAAAAGCCTGGTCTGCTGGGAGGGAGGGGGGGAGGGGACCCACTGGCTGTGCCCCCCCCACAGACCAGGGAGACGCAGGTGGCGTGACTGCCCAGACGCGCCACGGTCCCACCGCCCACCTCCTCCGCGGCTTTGCTCTGCATCTCCCTAGTCTGCTGGGGGGGGGCCCTCCCAGCAGACCAAGGAGATGCGGAGCAGCTTTTCTCGCCCCGGAGGACGCAGGCGGTGGGACCGCAGCGCGTCTGGGCGGTCCCGCCGCCCGCGTCCTCCAGGGCGAGAAAAGCCCCGTTCGTAAGTCGGATCCGCGTAACTCGGGGACTGCCTGTACTTTAGACCTGTCACACTGAACGATTTAAGCATGGGCTTAGACAGAAGCTATTACTCAGCAATCCCTCCCAAAACAAGAAAGTACTGACTAAAAATGCAAGTAGCAATGAAAGAAGAGACCGTTAGATTTTTAAATCCAGTGATGCACCAGCAGTAGTCTTTGATTACACTATTGTAAATCTAAGAGAAGAATTGTCAGCTGTATACAAAGTAACAGCCTGGTGTTTACACTCAAAGATGAGAGTAGTGATTCTCAACCTTGTCCACAACATGACTCCAAGACACAACAACAACAAAGAAGTGTCAGGACTCCACTCCTCTCAAACTCCAAAGAAAAGTAGGGTGATTGTGACCTTATAAATCTGTTTGAAACTCCCAGGCTGAGACACATGGTTTAGAGCATCAGAGAGCAGAATGATGGACTCTTCTTTTATATGAGGTGCCCTCTGATAGCATACAGTTCTGCATAAAAAACTAAACTGTCAATAGTATTCCCTGACACATCTACATAAAGTGGTTAATAGAAAAATCTCTCTATTTTTCTTAAATAGGCCCTAAGCTCAGACTTTCCCACGGGCATATTAAGAAAGCCCACACATCCTCTGATGTGGATAGGACTCTTCAGTGTCTTCTCCAGCTTTTCATCTAGGGCTACCTTTGAATCCCTAGCTACCTTAGTTGTGCCCTTTCACAAAGCAGTCACATGTGCTCTGAGTAACTGGACACATGCCAGTGACTTCTGAAGTCAGACTGATTGCCACAACTGCGAGAGGGATGCTTTAGCTCAATTTGCCTATGTAAGGTATGGTGACCACCACTCTAATATTTCAGTGCTGAATTTCTGAAATTACACCCTTCCCTCTGTGAGACAAAGCCTGCTGAGCCATTTGGATGGGCTTTGAGTAAAATTTTTTCCTACCTATATCCCCACTTCGATCTTTCTTACATTCCTTTTGTTGTATCTCTTTCCTTTTAGCTAGTCTTCTCAATTCACACATACTACCTTCATTCTTTTCCTTTAGCTGTCTCAGAGTGCCAGATGTAACTATCGTGAGTAGTGCATCCACCAAGATCTCCCGAAGAAATGGATGAAAACTGATCTTGACATTTTGGAGTGAGGCAAATTAAGCATGGATCGGTCCAATGGTACCAAATAAATCCTGGTTAAGTCCATAGGATCAGAAGACTTGAATGACATCATCCCATTCATCAACAGGCCACATCCCATTGTACTGCACATTGGATGGAGAGCTTTTCCAGTCCCACATCTTCACAGGTACCTTCCAGTCTTTGCCGTAGTTGGCTTCAACATATTGGACGGTTTCACAAGGCACATGTACCTTGAGTTCTACAAACTCAGTCCAACACAGTGTAAACTTAGGAAACAGATACCTATGTGGCAATAAGAGAACACAATAGTTAAGAGTCAGATATAGGCATAATATTCAGTACACAAAACCTTGGCAGCCACTACTCCATTTGATTTTTTAAAAATATTAAGCAGTACAGATTGTGTAGTGCCCCAGAAAGCTGGCTCCTACCGGGGCCCCCACATATAAACGTGTAACTGCTGAAAATTTCAGCCGTTACATGTTTACAAAAATACATGCATTTTAACATCCCTAATTCAAAGGCAAAAATGTTGTAATCATTATAGTTGTAAATAATTATTTAACTATAATTGTTCCAATAAAATGGTACTAAATGAATGTTTGAAAATGAGGCAATGAATAGTGTTCCTATGCTAATATTATTTATCCCGAGGCTAAGTTTTTGTTAATTTCCCCCAGGAGATTTGTTTTAGTTGGTTTATTTAAACCTAATATATTTTGTTGTTTCTACTGTGAAATAGTAAATGAAAGCTCCCAGTGATAAAGCTACTGCCAACGTCACAGCACTGTGATGGCAGCGCTGTAACATGGGCAGAGGAGACACACCCTCAGAAACTCATTCTAAGCTGAAGAATCAGATTCTAGCGTGATTTAAACAAAATCACTTCTCTTTGGTTGACCAACACCATTTCCTCCCACATTCCACAATTGCTTTGAGAGAACAAAGGGCCAGAAAGTGAAAACTCCTAATGGTGTGGGTTTCATAGCCCAAAACAATAACAACGTTTAAAGCTACTATATCTACAACTTTAAAACTACTACAATTACTATTTCTACAACTTTCTGTTACAGTGACACGTATCAGCATCTAATACTGTAACAACTTGTTCAGCTTGTTTTCCCTTCTATCGATCTGAAATGAATTCATACTTAAATTTCTTGCCCGATTTAGCTTGAGTTCCTCCATTCCACATGTGGTCATCCTCTTCATAGAAGAAAAAAATATCAAGTTTCACATCATCTTCTCTCTGAAAGGAGAGTTCCAAGCTGTCTTCTACCTGTGAGATGGACAAATACTCTCCTATAAGAATTTAACAACCAGGAAATAAACAACGGAAGGTTTCTGTGATTTATTAGTGCTGGCATGTTACAGGGGAGTAATGGCCGTTTTACAATCTCTGGTACCCCCCTCTTAGGGGGGTACCCGAAGGATAAAAAGAGAAAAAGGAATCTGGTCACCAAGGAAACCCTTTAACAAGCCATCTCCAAGAAGGCATCTGCTCTCTACGGTTACAGAAAACCACTTTCCATAGCTCTGTCCTGTATACTTTATATTTGCAAGAATGTATCATGGGGTAGCCGTGTTAGTCTGAATCTGCAAAAGCGGCGAGGAGTCCTGTGGCACCTTATAGACTAACCGAAGTGCTGGAGCATAAGCTTTCGTGGGCAAAGAGCCACTTCGTCAGATGCATGTAGAGGAAATTTCCAGAGGCAGGTATAAATATGCAGGCCAGAATCAGAATTAGTTTGACACAATCATCTCAGGATTAAATAAAGACTGTGAATGGCTTGCTAACTACAAAAGCAGCTTCTCCTCTCTTGGTATTCACACCTCCAGATCAGCTACTAGAAGTGGGCCTCATCCTCCCTGATTGGATCCACCTCGTCATCTCTAGCCTGATTCTGACCTGCATATTTAGTCTAGAAGGTGCCACAGGACTCCTCGCCACATTTGCAACAATGTAAGTGTTACCACATTTCTTTAGCCAGATCTCACAGCAGGAGTGTTTTCTTAGAACTCAAAATACAAAGCTGACTCCAATTTGAGAAGATGGATTCTCAAGTAAAAGAGGAGAATAACTTCAATGAATGACTTATTAAAAGAAGCCCATATTTAGCATTCCTTTCCTTTTGTTTCCTTTGTATATTAGCACCAATTAATGAGGAGTCCCTGAATCTAAGCTAAACTGTTTGTGAGATCACACTCTGACACTGGTCATATAGCGCCCATGATGACACACTCAGAATTAATTTTAATTAACAATCAATGTAATTTTTTTAACTCAGAGGTCTCCCACATCTCTGTTCGAGACATGTGATTTTGTCGCTTTGCTACACCCTCATAATCCCATGTTGTTGCCACCAACTCAGCTAGAAAGTCAATAAGTTTACACATGGGTAAATTAACGGAACACAAATATTTGCAGAATAAAGACCTAAGAGACCCTCTCATGAAAACTGTTTTAAACATCCTCAGAAAACCAGAACCTTGAAAGAAATGTTATAATGAAGGTGACATTCAGATATGTTACCCACTAACCTTGCCAAACTTGTGCTTCAGTGGTAGTCCTGCCTTCTGAAATGCTGGAATAATATCAGATTTATAGTCTTGTATGAAGATCCCCAAATCCACATCTCTGCTGTAAGGAATAATACTACACTGTCTATACCAGCCTAAAATGGAGAAAAAAAATGACATCACAGACATGGGGACCAGACAGCTAGAGCTGAAACAACATAAAGTGTCTTGTGTCAATAGCTGAGATCTCTTTGAGGGAAGCCATTCAGCTGCCTCCTACACAGACACCTAGGTCAGAAGAGGTAGGATTGTGAGGGGGCCAATTACAACTTAAATAGCGACCCCTCAATCTCTCTCAAACGTATGTTTTCTAAATTGCATTTTTAAAAGAACATTATTCTTGGTCTGAGCCCTTTATGCCAAGTTTCATCTAATATTTATGGAGTCACAATTCTATTTTTAAAAATGGATTACTTCATTTCAAACACGAGCTATTTCTGGGATGTAAGCTGTCTGCCTGCTGCTGTTGGAAATGCTGGGACTGGAAACCAGACATGCTCCCCACCCCAACTTATTTAAACCACATCATAGGTCACTGTACATCATGAAAATAATACTCCCTTTATAGGCAAAATAAACACTAACATATAATGAAATGCTAATAAACAAGAATGATTAAATCTGTGGCTATAATCTATTTTGGAATTTAACAATCTTTTTCACCCGTAACAAATTTGGGATATTGCTTTCAAACCTGTAATGTCGATAGGTTATCATATGGGTCCCCCAATACTGAAGTTTTATAAATAACTAAACGCCATTTTATGGGGGATAGAGGAAAATCTGCAACTAAAATACAAGATAACTAGAAGTATGATTCCTTTGCATTCTCTTTCAAGTACCTGTACCAATTACTATTGACCTGGTTGTGCAAGCTGCTCAGAGTTTCCTGAGAGGTAATTAACGTACTGAAGTACTACTGACTTTCAAGTAAATGCTCAACATTTTCTATGAAGCGAACCCAGCATCGCATATAGCTCTAAAACTCCTGGAAGGCATCTTGAAAATAAACAGAATACTACTCTCTCATAATTTATGGAGTCCTCATTTTGACTTTGTAGAGAAGTTGTTTTAACAGTGCCAATGTACTGGAGCCCTGCTTCACACACCCTATCAGACACCACCCACTAACCTAATGCTTTCAGCTGTCAATCGCAGGCACCAGCATTGTAACTAAACAGGATTAAATGTTTCAGATTTTGAAAGGTGCTTCAAAGGGTTTGAAAAGCAATACAATATAAGCTCAAATACTTTACCAAGGCATGTTCCACTGCTCAGCCAGAATCTCACTCCTAAGTTATTTAGTGTCAGGGCAGCCAGATGCAGCAATGTTTTGGCTTTTTTCCTGAAAACCATTGCATCAAGAGAGGCATCATCAGGATACAGCTAGCGAGTTAAAGAACATTATGTTACTTTCAGACATAAGTGCTCCTTAATTTATAAAAATATTTTAGTAAAAAAAGGGCAATTTTTTCCTCTGGACACTGTCTACTCTCCCACTTTGGGGCTCTTTGGCAGTATACACAATGAAATAAGTAAAATGTACATGCCTATACAATAAACCATCTTCTTTGTTACCTTTTCCAAACTGATAAAATGTACAAGTCAGGACTTTTACACCAAAACGATAAATGTATATTTTAAAGAAACAAAATTTGTAAACATTGTGATTAAACCTCTGTAATTATTACACTTTTCAATAAGGCACACTGATCCTGCTCTCAAAGTTAATTACAAAACTCTCATGGATACAACTTGGAGATAGTATTGGGTTCACTGTGGTTACTTTTAGCACAATTTTTACAATTTGGTGCCACCAAATGTTAAAACTGCACAGTAAAGTTACAAGTTCACACTAATTTCAGGCGAGGCATAGTCATTTAAGAGTAGCAACTCATTTTCAAGTTATCAGTGTCCAAAAAAGCATCTGAACAACTAAAGTTCTCTATTCCACACTGGAATAATCTGGTACCAAGTTTCCAAAACCATTTTTTTTCTTTACTCTGAACAAGCTTTAAAAAGATTCAGCCCAATCACTTCAGAAGTTAAAAGCTTCTGAAAAGGATGATTTTAAATAACCATATTCTTCAAATACAAACATAATACTACAAATATTGTGCTGTAATGCAAGATCAACCTTACTGTGACCAAAACTGAACATTACCAGAACATTGGGAATTTGTGCTGAGAACTGCTATACCATAGAACTCAAATACAAAGATATGCAGGGTCTGATTCTCATTTACACTAAGGCTGCTTGATACAACTCTGACAAAGTAAACTGGTCTTAAAGTGCGTGTAAATTTATACATGACCATTTATCTAGTTAGTCCCCATGTGATTTCAAATGAAGAGACAAATGCAACCAGAAGAGATGAAACATCTTCAGTGACTCAGAGAAAAAGGTTCTAGCTATACTCTCAAGTATATAAAATTAATGTCTTTATTTTCTGAGAATGAAGGCCCCGATGCTGCACTTATGCAACCATTTAATTTTAAGCCTATAAGCAGAATCATCACATCCACAGGATGGTTTGGGGCAGCCTCCCCAAGCCTTGCACTTTGGAGGACCCCGCAGTGGATGTCTCAACTGGGGCTTGCTGGGGGCCTATTGCAGGGTGGCAGCAGGGGTTGCCTCCCTCATCATGGTGTGACCCAGCAGCCTCCTTCGCTCAGCCCCACTCCCCTCTCCCAGCCTGCTGTGTTCCGCTTCACTGTGGCAGCAGGAACCACAGTGCCCCAGCCTCAGGGCCTTCCTGCCACCATGGAGAAGTGGGGCGCAGCAAGTTGAAGGGGGCAGAATGGTGCAAAGCAGGCTGCTGGGTCACTCTGGCTTCTGCCACCAGGGTAAGTGCAAAAGGGGGGGCCTACCCCTGCTGTTGACCAGTGCCAGGCCCCCTTGAAATCTCTGAGCTTGCTTTGCTCGGGGGAGGGGACTTCAGGCAAGGCACGGAGCAGGGGCGGGAAGGGGCAGGGCTTGGGGAAGGGTTGGGACAGTAGTGGAGCAGAGTTGGGGTGGGGACAGGACCCCTGGATCCTGCACCTGGAGCAATGTGGAAGAAGATTGCCCAAGGCCCCGCTCCTCTCCAGGGATGGCCCTGCTTATGAGTACCTAAGTGTTTGCAGGATGGAGGTCTATGAGTGGAACTCTACTTTACATTGCAGCGGAAGCATTACCAGATTACCACTCACCTGAAAGAAAGCCCGAGCCTCTCTGTACCTACATTCAAGAAACCGAGAGTGTGACATCTCCTCTATAAATTCAGATGGATTTTTTGGAATCTGAACTTTTACATCATCAATGAACAGTAGTTGTAGTTCTGGCCTGCAGTGAAAGAAAGACATTATATTATCCTGGCCAAGAAGGCATCAAATGCCAACCTCCTATCTCTGGCCCAGATTATGAAGGTTAAAACCTGTTGAGCAATTGAGCAGTTGCTTGCTATATCCAAATGTATTACTACTGATTACATAAAACCTCTTGGGTGCGACAAAAATCTACACATTATTCTCCTAGGCAAAGATTTTCAAAAGAAGGGCTAATATTATGAAAATATGTATTTAGACAACTGAATAAATCACTATATTTTTCAAATGTGCCAAATACACAGCAAGCTTGCATTGAATTGACTGGGAGCTGTCGGTTGAAAAAACCACGCCACTTATTCAGTTGCCTAAATATGAATTTAGGAGTCTAATATTATTTCCTATTTTGAAAGTCTTGTTCCACAGTTATAATTTAACAATAGTTTAGGACTTCATGACAACTGAAATGTTGAATGCCATTTGATAGATAATGCTCTGGATTTTAAATGTTTATGCAAGGTATAGAAGGGAGGTTTAGTAACTTAGTAATTCTTAGCCAAAATTAATCAATGCATTCACCTTCCCACCTTTTTTTTTTTACTACTGTGTTTGTTTCAGTTCTGATTATCGTGACAATTTCAAACAGACTGCAGGAGTATTACTCTCACAGCCAGGCTGCATGCATCTTGCTTCACCAAGACTGCAACAAGCATGTCAATTTGCCATTTTTCACATGCTCCTGAAACACCATGTAAGTGAAAGCACCCTGACTGTGGTGACTTAGAAGGTTGGGCTTACAATACCAAAGTGCATGTTTCTCAGGGAAGGAAAAAAACAGAAGGAAAGATAGGAAAAGAAATTGAGACGCAAAGAGTCGGGTTACAAGGAGTTCCAGTCAACCATTACTGAGCTCTTTATCGGTTTCCCAAAGGGCTGTCCCAGAGATATTACTCTTTGGATACCCCCTCCTTTTTTTTTTTTTTTTTAAACCTTCCCTTATTTATAAATATTTCTAACACTACTATTTTATCATGTTTACCAGGCCTGATCCATAGCCCACTAAAGTGAATGAAAGAATGTTTTTTGAATCAAGCCCCCTATAATAAAAAAAATTAGCCACAGTACAGAAAATCCCGAAATCAAATTCTCTCTCAAAAATCCCCAAAACTCCAGATCTGATAACCCCAGAATTCTGGGAAAGTTCTGAGTCAAGCCCCATGGTTCTGACCAATTTTAGCAGAAGAGGCGCTTTCATGCCAAGTTCCTATTTCAGTGACTTTTAGTAACTTTAAAAATGGAAGAGAGGCATAGTTTAAATATAAGTCTGGAGGAAATAATTCATACCAGACCTCACACCACCATTGCATATTTCCCCCTTAGGGAAGCTGAAGCAGCAAGGTTATTTGTACAGCGACGTTACTAATACTTCCTACCTGATGGGGTGTTGTAAAAATTAACTGAATATAAAAAGCACTAAAGGCTAGATCCCCATTCCATTTAAGTAAATGGCAACACTTCCATTGCTTTCAATGGTGCAGAAGCAGATAATATATTACTACTCTTACGAAACTGGTTGTGCTCATTCAAAAAAAAATTTTGGAGGGTGCGGGGGTGGGGAGAGAGATTTTGATAACTTCCAGTAGGCTATTTTTTAGGTAACCAAGCCTGCAAAACCACTGGTTTTCAAAAGGCCATATATAACCATCTAAACTAATGGACCTAAATCTACTGCACCAGCAAAACCCTATATTTGTGCATAAATATGGGGGAGGGGATTGACATAATGGTTTCAAATGCATTTCTGATCCAGCTATGTTGGCATAAGAAAGATCTCTCTTCAATATCCTTCCACACTAGTTGCTAGGTACTATTATACAGACCTTTGCTGCAAATGTAGCCTTCCCTTTTTTCAATGCTGAGTGTGTCAGATATGAAGTTTTCTGGCCAAGTTTTGGCTCTGTAGCACAATATAAAACGCATGGAAAGAGGTTACACATCTTTATTGGATACTGGTAATATGGCAATCCCTATCTTGCATGATATATATTACCTTCAAAATATTTCAGACTTAAGCTGACAAGCAGAGTCATTTAATTATCTGCTGGTAAGATGTGCTATTATTCCTCTCTGGAAATCAAAATATCCTACCACAAATCAATGCTGGGTTGGGCCCATTACTGGATCTCTCATGCCCAGGCTGAACCACTTAACCTCTCTGTGTCTCAATTTCTCCATCTGTAAATTGGGGAAAAGACTTGTTTTACTGTTCATATAATTGGATCTGTCACCTTAAAGTTCCAATTCACCTGCATTTTAGTGAACACGCGAGATGAATTTCATGACTGCCCTTTAGAACTGCAAATCACTGATTTTAAGAGTGGGTGGGCAAATTCAGTCTGCTAAGGATAGCCCCTGGCGGGCCACCACTACTACATTTCTCTCTGCCTCCGCAGGTACAGGCGATTGCAGCTTCTGTTATCTGTGGATTGCCAGTCCCAGCCAATGGGAGCTGCAGGAAGTGGTATCCTAGTCTGCACCGCTTCCTGCCGCTCCCATTGGCTGGGAACATCAATCTGCAGCCAACCGGGATCTATAATCACACGTACCTGCAGAGGTACAAGTAAAATAGAGCAGCGGCATCCCAGCAGTGGGCAACCCTGGCAAACTGACACCGTTTTATTGCCCACCCGTTTTAAGAAAAGGCGGCAGTATTTAATGTGCTATAATACCCTTAAATCCTCCTTCCCTTCCTCCAGTTTTAACTTACTTGTTGTAAGCTCCAGGGTAGCGACCAAAGTGTAGCTTTCGGAAAGGCACAAATTTTCTGTCTACATGTTGCTTCAGCCTCAGTGGGCCATGCCAGACATAGTTACCACTCCTCTCATAAAAGACCACCAAGTGGATGGCATGAGCTGCCAGTTTGAAGATATAGTGGAAGGGAATTTCAGTCCCAGAGAGGTCATCCATCCCTTCCAAACGGGGGTCTTTGTTCTGTATCTTTAGCCACTGGAATCCCATTTTTTCAGCAGCTCTAAACAAGCTCACCTAAACATCAGAGAAACAACACTTATTGTGAAGAGAATAAACAAGACTTCAACACTAAGGACTAATTCTTCATGTGTGCATGTTACTCTTGATTCACAACACACAACTTAGATCAGAATCAAGCCCTACCTATGCCAAAATTTCTCCTAAGCCTTAAAAGGGTGGTAACTGCCTACGCATATTTTCATTTTCACTTCCCCGACCTAAATAACAGCAATACCAAAATAAACAGATTTTTTTTAAATGCTTAAATTCCCCCCATTTCTCCCAGTTTTGTCATGTACAATGAAACCATATGATGGCTTCTCTCTTAGGGTGTGTCTAGACTACATGCCTCCTTCGACGGAGGCATGTAGATTAGCCAGATCGGAAAAGGGAAATGAAGCCGCGATTAAAATAATCGCGGCTTCATTTAAATTTAAATGGCTGGGGCCCGCCCC